AAGGGAAAATTATGAGAAAAGAAAAAAAAAAAAGGAAACAAAGTCCATGTAAAGAAGGGTGGAGGGGGTGAAGGGTGCACAGGTAATGGGGAAAAAAATAAGAATCAAGATACATCATGTACAGGTACAAGCACCCAATGATAAATGTAAATGTATTATTTACCTAAAATATACCAATAAAAGAATTTAAGGGAAAAAAACAAAACAAAAAAACACTGGACAACAGGCACTTAGACCACAGAATCAAAATATGCCGGATGAAAACCTCCTCTCCACTATCCCTGGAAGGCCAGGGTCTGGGGCCTCTGCCCAAGGCTCCTGTACCAGGGTGAACTTACAAACCCACTATAAGGCTCACAGGAAGAACACTCATGGTCCTTGCTTGCCTTGTCCATGGGGCGCTGCCCTCTGACCCTCTCTAGTGGCTCCTGATCAGTGTGGGCTGGGAAAAGACCCAAAACCACCCTTCAACCACACCCAAACCAGTGTTCATATTCTTCCACCTGGTGTGCACATGCAGCTTGAGTCCATTGAGGCCCTAAGCACAAGATGAACCTTGCAGTTCACCCCAGGGAAGGGCAGTCCTTGCCTCAGGTGTCCCCATCATCATACAGGGGAGCTGGTAAGGTGTCTAAGCACCTACCCCAAAACACACAAGTTCTTCCACCTCATTAGCCTGCCTGCTAGGACCTGCATGTTAGGTCAGTCAACAAATACTGCACCAGAGCTGCTTAGCACACCTGGAAATCCAAGGGTAGGCACTAAAGCAATGAGAAAAGACAGGAAAAAATGTGTAGATACATACCCCAATATATAATGTAAACTCTTGCAGAATTTTTCCTAAATGATTTTCACTTACCAAAAGAATACCTGAAAACAAAAGAAGAAAAATATATTAAAATTTTGATTTGCTTTGACCAAAAACTTATACGTTAAACCAACAGGTTTCCCCACTAAGCAGAGCCTACCCTTTGAGCCCAGGATAGCATGGGGTTAAGCAGAGCTTCGAGGACCTGCCTGCCAGGTGCTGACGGCAGAAACCCCCACCTTACTGAGCTGGGCAGGGCCTGGTTCGAAGGTGGTCAAAGGGGCTGTGGGATGAGCAGACACCACACCTGGTATTTCTGGAGAAAAAATGATGTAAGCCACCACAGGAAATGTTATTTTCTGGAACATGAAAGTTTAAAGGACATCCATTACTCCAAACACAAGTCACTGGGAAAGGGACTAAAGTAGAAGAAATCTGGTGGGCTCCATCTCCACTACTAACGGTTGGAGACGGGTCTGTGTCTTCACTGTGGAATCATGGTAGGAAAAGGAGGTGCATATCATATGTCTCTACACAGTGATTCCCATCCTACCCTTGGAGATTGAAGACCCAGTAAGCAGCCAGCACATGTGCAAGACCCAAATCATGAACGAGTCCATTGCTATAATATCCTCCCTTGGCTTCTGGAACAAATGCTGCACCGGCTGTGCCACTGCAAAAGGAATGATATGCTGCCACATGATGCCCAGCAAGAAGCCAGACACAGAGGCCATGCATGCAAGATTTTGCTGGTGTGAAGCGTACAGACAGCAAATCCACAGACAGACAATGGACAGTGGTTGCCAGGGCCTGGGAGGGGGGGAGTTGAGGGGGTTGGGGGAGAGTAGAAAGGGGCTGGGGGTGTGTGACAGTGCCAAATGCAGGTTTCTTTTGGGGGTGATAAGGATGTTTTAAATTTAGACAATGGTGTCAGTTTCAGGACTTGAATGTATAAGAGTATGGATGTGTACACTTTAAATTTTACGATATATGAATTTCTCCTCAAGAAAGACATGAAGGGAACATTGTTGCTTAATGAAATACTTATCGGGGCTGGGGATTTAGCTCAGTGGTTTCGCCGCTTGCTGCGCAAGCGCAAGGACCCGAGTTCAATCCCCAGCACCAAAAGAAAGTAGTAATGAAATACTTATCGATGGTAGGCAAGCACTGAGATTCGCCTCCACACCCCCAGGCATGGGGTGGGGGAGGCTCTCCCATGCAGGGCCCCTGCAGGCCAGGGGATTCTGATGCCTCTGGTCTCAAGTACATTTCCCACCATGAAGAGTTAGGATACAAAACACCTCATGTACAGGCATAGGGTAAAAAAATGGTGCTGTTCAGCACCTTCTTTACAGGGCTTGTTGTCAAATAATATCCACAACAAGTTAACTGCAATCAGAATGTAGAATTAGTCCAAGTGACAATGGGCTGTGACAGGGACAGACATTCTAAATGCGAGAGAGAGGGGAGTGGGACTGAGCATCAGATGATTCTGTTGTTGTTGCTGTTGTAGGAATTGAACCTGGGCCTTCACATTGAACTACGTCTCTAGCCCTTTCTTACATTTTTTATTTTGAGATAGGATCTCACTAAGTCACTAAGTTGCCCAGGTTGGGCTTGAACTTGGGCTCCTCCTGCCTCAGGCTCAAAGAGTGGGTGGGATTACAGGTGTGTGCCACTGCACCTGGCAGATGGTTCTTTCTGTAATTCCTTCACATGTGTTGATGGCCTGGCAGTTCCTATATTTTATTCATCCCTTGCCCAGTACAGACACATACTACTTGCATGTAAAGTAACACAATATCTGAGATTTCCTTTTTACTTCAAAAAAGAAAAGCTGGAAGCAGATAGGATGTCCCTGGCTGCATGCCACTCTTTGCTTCTGAACATGCTTCTATATGTCTAGATGCAAGCCCATGTGTTTTTACAAAAATAAAAATTAAAAAAAAATTATATGTCTGTAAGAAGAAGCTTTTAGCCAGCAAACACAGGGCTAATGCCATAACAGACTCATCTGACTGACAAAGTCTTCAACAGATGATCTTGCTGAACAAATGGAAGAGGGCTGATGCTTAAAACAAAGAATAGAAGTTCCCATTTTTATCACATCAGATGGGAAGAAACACAAGCTGCCCGAACACAAGTGTCCATGCAGGTGTGCACAAGATGTTCTTGCCTTCATGCTTGCTGAGGGTGTTTGAAAATGGTTCTTTTGTGACATCACCTGTTTTGAATTTTGAATTTAAAGGCTGCCTGCTAGGTTTTTCTTTCTCCCCAGATATTAGGTTGTTTTGGTAATTACATGAAAAACTGAAAAATCTTCCTGACTTTTATAGCTTTTATTCTATTTTAAAAATTTTTTATTGAGTTTATTGGTACATTTAGGTATACCTTATGATCACTGAAGGTAAGAAGGAAAAAATGGAAACAAAGCTTATGCATATAGGTGGGGTGGAGGGGTTGAAGGGAGGGCTTTTATTCTGTTTTTTGGCAGCTAGATTTGACTTCCCTAGAGTGGATTCTGGTACTTTTTTTGAGGTTTTTTTTTTTGGTACCAGGGATCAAACTCAGGACCTTGTGCTTTCAAGGTAGGGAGCAGCACCACTGAGCTGAATCCCTAGCCTGGAAGTTGTACTATTGTGCTATCCTTTAAAGAAGTTCCAGGCCAGTGGGGCTTGGTGACACATACCTATAATCCCAGCACACTGGGAAGCAGAGACAGGAGAATGTAAATTTGAGCCCTGCCTAAGCAACTTAGCAAGAACTGGTTCAAACTAAAAAAACAAAAGGGCTGGGGACATAGCTCAGTACAAAAGCCCTGGGTTCAATCCCCAGTCACCCCCCATAAACACACCAAAACCAGGCATTCCTTGTCCCCAGGGGCACCAACTTGGCTCCTAGCTGGTCTCCCATGCTGTACTGCTCTGGTATCTGCTCAGTCAGCTCTGCTGTACCCAACTGACAACTCACTGGGGATCCTTGTATTGAGGGAGCAGAAAGTGGCAGCATGTGAGGGGTCCCAACACATTTGATGATGAACACATTTGTGCCTGGGAATGCCCTTCACGATGCTCTCCCTACCTAGCCACTGTTATTCAGGTGAGGGGGGTTACATCTGGTGAGGTGGATAAGCTCATGTGTCATGTTTCTCATATGATATTATATGCTCATGTATCCATGTGCTGGTTTGATTCAGTAAGTTAATTTTTATTGGCACAAATAAGTTACATATCAGTTTGTGCCTTGTGGCTGTGCTGGCCAAATAGTAACTGCTTACTTCTAAAATCAAGGTGCAGAGTCATTCTCTCCTGGCACTTGCATTCACAATGCAATAACTCAAACTATTGCTTTCTAAGGTGGAATCCCTGGGACCTGGGCATAGTCTGAGAAATGCTGGTCTATACCTGCTCATCACAAAGACATTAGTGATTTGATGTGAAGTTAAAAAATTTTTAGTTATTTCACAGATTATTATAAAAGATTATATAATAAAATTATTTAAGAATTAAGTCAAATATACAGGGAACAAAACAGCATGTGCATTGTAGGCCCATTTTTGTTGAAAAGGAAACTAGATCCCATCAGACTAGAGTTGGCTGTGCACAGCAAGGCGCAGCTGGCACCTTCAGTATCCATGAATGGCTAAGGGTGAGCTACGGCTGTCAGTTATCAGAGACTTAGAGTGCTGCCCTGCAGGCTTGCAGTTGTCCTGAGGTAGAGCTGCCTCACAGGCAGAAGTCAGGCATCTCAGCCTCAGAGACACTGCCAGCTCTTCCAGGTTCTCAGTTTCAGAAGCTAACCCTGAACATCACACGGAGAATGCTCACTGCTCTGCCTCTCCCTTGTAAGAGCACCTGCACTGGCCAGCCTGAAAGAAAGTGACAAGGTAGAAGGGGAACTCTGAGACACTGCCATGGCCCAAATTTCAGAGATAATCTCTTCTTTCTCAAAGGAGTAGGGTGATGGGGGAGAAAGGGATGGTGGGCACCATCCTCCCCAGCGACCCAAAAAACCTCTTGCGTTGCAGCCAACAGAGTACAGATAAAAGAATCAGAAACTCAACTTTTTGGAAAAGTCGATGTCTATGAAAAGACCAGAGCAGAAGTTATATAATTAGGTTCCTGACACACTGTGAAGGAGCATCATTTTAAGGAGGCTGGTTCCAAAAGATTCTTTAAAATCAATTTATTTATTGTACTATGGTTTGAACCAAGGGCCTTTGCCCTAAGCCACACTCCAACTCCTTTTTTATTTTTATTTTTAAAAATTTATTTATTTTTGTACCAGGGATCGAATTCGAGTCCTTGCACTTGCGGGGCAGGCGACAGAACCACTGAGCTAAATCCCAGGCCCTCCTTTTTTATTTTTTTGAGACAAGATCTTTCTAAGGAGCAGCACTATGTGCCCAAGACACATCTTAGCACAGGTGGTCACTGCTGTGTGCCCCCACTGGGGGTTCTGATCTCTCTACCTCTGGCTCCCATGAGTGGGCAGCAGCCCTAGAAAGTCTCCCTCCAGTGGTCTGTATTAAAATCACAATATGCCTCAGAAACAGCAATCTCCAGGACATCACAGAAAAAATCCAGACAGAATCCATATCAGGTCATCAATGACCCCTGCCCTGGAGATGGGTAAGGTCAGTCACAAAAGAGGCAGCAACCCTAAGCCCCATTTGGAGAAAAAAAGGGTATGGCAAGCTCCCCTGAACTCACAGTGCTTGGCACAATGTCCACCTGCCCATGTGTCAGCCAGGGGCCTTGCAAGAACTTCTCCCATCTCCTCATTCACACTGAAATGCCAACTTAACTGCTCCTTTGGACACAGCAGCTTTCACATGCAGCTGAATGTCACAGTGTATGCCCCCCTCCCCCATAATGACACATTCCTGGCTGCTCCATGACCCACAAGCAGTCTCATACAGACACACTGTGGCTGGAGGAGTGGCTATATGAAGTCCCTCGGCTCTTCCTGGAACATATAGCATGATTCCATTCTGCATGGCTCCTGCCACAGCCAGACATCCAAAAGGTCCCCATACTCCTTCAAAGACCTACAGTGTGACAGTGGCACACTGACACACAGGCCCCAGGCAGGCAGCAGAGAGGATGCAGGGTGACAGGACACTGAGCCTGCTCTTTGGTAGACTGAGCATGGGGTACTGCCTGGGTGTGAGGTGCAGCCTCCTTCAATCCTGTAGTCAAATGCTGTTTATCACTAGCCTCATCCAAGCCTGGCACACCACCCTATTCTTGGCACAAAACATCATTTCACTAGCATGGAAGCCTAGGTCTCAACCACTGAAAAAGTACAGAGGCCAGAAATGTCTGTGCTGAGAGGAGAGGCCGTACCTCCAAAGCTCCACAAGCCCTGGGTGCCATTAGGATGACACAGTAATGTCCAGTGGAAGGCAGCTCCCAGAGCCCGGCCCCAGCTGCCTGGCATCAAAGCCAGCATTATATCCAGGGGCTTCTTCTGGGAACTTCTTTGCCCAAGGCCAGCTCTATAGAGAGTCAGGCAACCCCAACTAGCCTATCTAGCTCCTGAACAGAATATCCAGAGGAGTCCTTCATGTTGTACATCTCTATACAGATGCCTCATATCCCCTTCCCACATGTCTGGTGGGACACTGACCCCACATCTACTTTGTACATGTCTACCTGGGTAGCAACCAATACACTCACCTCCCACAAGCCCACATGAACACTGACCCCACGTCTGCCTCCCATGTGTCTATACAGACACTGGTCCACAATACACACAATCATAGGAACACTGACCCCATGTCGACTTCACACATATCTACTTGGATACCAACTACCATGTTCAGTTTCCACATGAACACACAGACACTTCACATCCACTTCCTACAGGTCCATAGGACACCAACCCCACATTCACATGCTTCCCCAACACATCTATCTGTAGTCTATAGAACTCTCCTACCTTGGTAGCCCTATACATTCCATAACCTGGAGGCCAGGGCCAGGTCCCATCTGTGATCCCAACAAGGTTCCTAGTACTTGCTGTATGGTCCTCCCAAGCAGAGAAGGGGACAGGAACAGAAAGATACATTTCAGAATCATCCCCTCCCTCTGTCTCCCAGCAGTCCACCTGTGACTTCTGCCTCCATCTCTCCATCTGCCACAGCTCAAGCAGTGGCAGTGTGTTACTCCCCAAGGAGAAAGCCACTCTCATTTTGCTGAGTGCAGCCAGCAGCCTCTATCATGTCCTAAAGACCTGGTGACCTTACTCTGAGTTAACTTCAGAAGGAAGCTAGCTCAGCCTCCAAGCTGCTGGAGTCCCTAAAGATCAGTGTCCATGTGGAGGTGAGGGACAGCCAGACAGCAATAGCCCCAGCTCTACATACCAGACCTGTCCCACGCTGACCAGGGATAGGTAGAGGACCCACAGCATGGCCATGAGGATCATGTTGGCACAGCCAGTTATCAAGATGAAGGAAGAGATGCCCAATCCAAGAACAGCAAGGAGGTCTAGGTTGAAGTTCATGTCTGACCAGTCCATCAGCCAGAGGATGGTTGGGGCGTAGCTCCAGGCATCCAAGCCGATCCTGCCATGGAAGTACTGCTGGATGCTCTTCAGGTATGCCTTGCAGGGCAGCAGGCCCCGTTCACCAATCAGCTGCTTGTTCTGATGGAAAGCAACCAGGAATGCCACAACTGGAAGAAAGACAAGCACAGAGGGTGAGAGTAGGAAGAATCCGAGGGGCAGCAGGGGGCCAGGCTGAGGAGGGGATGGTTGGCATCCAAACTACACCCTAAAAAATTTTGAGTATCTTCTAAATCTCTGAGGAACATGGAAAGTCTAGCCCAGAGAAGATACACTGTAAAAGGGTGTGTTGTGTCTACTTCCACATGCTCCACAAGCAGGTCAGACACGGCTTATGTAAGACTGTGCCTAGAGTCAGGCATGCCTATAGTCCCAGCTGCCAGTCCCAGGATGGTGAGGCAGGAGAACCATGAATTTGAGGCCAGCTGGACAATTTAGTAAGATCTCATCTAAAAAAATTAACGATAAAAACAAGACTGTGGTACCATGTAAATGGGCTTCCCCAGTGGCAAGCAGTCTTCCCCTCGGCTCTCATCAAAGCCACTGCACCACAGGACCAGAGAGCAGTGCTACTGCTGACATACAAATCATGGCTACCCAGGCTCTAGGCACCAGACACTGAGGACATTCCCAGCAACTGCACCTCCAAGAGCACTGAAACATCCTCAGAATGTCCACGTTACATGGGTGTGATGCACAGAGATGCTGATGGTAGAGATCACATTCCATCCACGGAGCGGACACAGGATCATTTGCGCAGGGAGGAGACACAGAGAGGACCATCCACCCAGGGAGGGAGAAAGGAAGGAAGGTGCTCCTAAGGGATCCTCACAGCCTCCCAGGGATGCCACCAGGTAGAATACACACATGCTGTAGGTAGAATACACACATGCAAACCTATAACATAAGTGCTGCAGCGGGCTGTCTGTACCACCAAAAGCTCTAAAAGATTTGTCATCACTGCTGTAGGACAATGTGTGGCTGAGTGCCACCTGGGAAACCTATGCCGTACTCTATTCCTACAGCAAATAATAACCCATCTTGCCAGGAATGGAAGACCTGGAGGTTAAGCCTCCCCTACTGTATGTCTAAGGTTTCACCTGGCCTTCTAGGAAAAACACACGATCTGACCCTGGTCTACAGCAAATAGAATAAGGACCAATCTTGTTTGTGGAATATGTACCCATAACGTGTAACATATGAGAAACAGCATAAAGATAGAGAAACTGGGAATGTATATTAAAATGACCTTACAGCATATATAAGGTACTGTTCTATTACTACATGAAGGTAGGTTCAAATTAATTTTAAATGTATATTGTTTAAGTCCTAGGGGAAAGTAGTAAAAAATGTTTCAAAAACAATTCTAAATAGTAATAGAGAAGGCAAAGTAAAATTTTAAAAATCACTCAACCCAATAGAAGACAGGAAAACAGGGAAAAAGAAACAAAGAAAGGGAGGAACAAATAGAAAATAACTAGCAAGATGGTAGATTTTAATTCATCACTCTAAATGGGAATGTTCTAAACATACCAGAAAAGATAGACACCATTAGATTGGAAAAAAGAGCAAGGCCCATCTCTGCCTTGGAATCTACTTTAAACACACATAGACATGTTGAAAGTCAACAGGACTTACACATACATGTGAATCAAAAGAGAAGGCAAGACCTGAGGAAGCAACAGACAAACCATTTATGGTCAGAAGCTTCAACATCCCTTGCTGGGTCTGATGAATCAAGGAAACAGGAAATCAAGAGGACCACAGGAAACTCAACACTACTGGACACTGACAGATCATCACATGGAGTGAAAGAGCAAGACACTTGTGGAACACTCTACCCAAGAGCAAAATCTACATAATCTTCAAGTACACATGGGACATTTACAAAGACACATCACATTTTAAGCCATGAAACAAATGCTAGTATATGATCAGGAACTGTAATCTATAAAATATGTTCCCTGAATTCCTAGAATTAAATAATAGAAACCAATAAAAGAAGGTTATCTGGAAATGTACTCAAATATTTAGAAATTAAGCCACACATTTTTAAATAACCCATGGATTTAATAACAGGGAGGTACAAGAGAAGTTGCAAAATATTTTCAATTGAATGAAAATGAAAACACATACAAAAATTGTAGGCCACTGTTTAAGGAGCACTTAATTGAAAACTTATACTAAGATGCTCATTTAGAAAAGGTTACAAATCTACAAGTCTACTACTTTAGGAAACCAGAAAAGAAAGCAATGTACATCCAAAACAAGTAGTAGGAAAGAAGCTTTTGAAAGGAATAAAAGTAGAAACCAATGAAATTGAGAACAGGAAAAAAAAACAACTAAAACAAAACAGAGAAAGACAACATAACCAAAAGTTGTCTCTTTGGAAAGATCTGAATTACTGATTGCCCTCAGACTGACTAACCAAGAACAAAAGATGGCCAGCAGGAAGAAGAGACACTACTACTAGTCCACAGCCATTGAAGAGAATACTACAAGTCTCTCTCAAACCATGCATCTGACAACTTAGATGAAATGAAGTAACTGCTTGGCAAATAAAAACTACCAAACCATCACTAGAAGAAATAAAGAAAACATATCACAACCAATTTCATTTTCTAAGTGCAAGGCAGGTTCTGCATTCAAACATTAACAATTGTGAGTCACCATGGTAACACATTACCTAAGAAAAACTATATGATAATAGAAAAAGAGTACATGACAAGACTGAACATTAACACCTTCACAATGGGGCCATAAATGCACAACTGTCCCATTGGGTAGTTTGTATCACCCAATGGGACTGTCCTGTGCTGGCCAATGGGACATCATACATGTACCACTGGTGGTTCAAGTTGGAAGGAATGTGTTAACTTTCAGCACATTAGGAATAGAAGGAACTTCATTAGTCTATAACAGGCATCTATGAAAAACCTATGGTCAAGACTAAAGATGAGAGATTGAACACTCCCCCAGAATTCAGACCAACACAAGGACATTTCTCTTATTGGCGCTGCTCAACACTGTATGAGAAGCCCTAGCAGCACAAGAGGAGGGAAAAGGAAGAAGGAGGAGAAGAGGGCTGAAGGGAAAGAGAAAAGAAGAAAAAAGAATAAAACGGCAGTCCCCCTAAAAGGCATAGATATAAATCTAATAAAATATAAACATTATCTGTCTGTGGAAATCTACAAAACAATGATGAATGAAACCAAAGATGATCTAAACACATGAAAAGATACACTATGTTAATGGTTTTGAAGAGATGAAATTATCCCCATTTAGACCCACAGAGCCAACAAATCAGTCAAAACATTTGGAGAACTTTTCTGTAGATACCGACAAGCTGATTCTAAAATGCATATGGAAAGGCAAAAGAAACAAGAGTAGCCAACAGTAATCAAGACACAGTGGTCCTGGTGAAAAGACAGCTACATAAATCAATGGTACAAAACAGAGAGCCCAGAGATAGACTTACACAAATACAGTGAATTCATTTGTTTTTTTACAATTCACTGTACACTCTTTTAAAGTTTTGTACACTATCTTAATATGAATGGGACTGCTTTACTACTTGAGCCATTTTTAATTTTAATCAAAGCAAACTAACCTAAGTAATACAAAGTATTAAAATACTGCATAAAGATACAAAAACAGACATACTAATTCTAGTGAGGAATGTAATTAGGCAGTTTCTTTTTTAATAACCCACAATTGTGTTTAGGAAATCACACAAACATAGATCGCTGATTTTAATGAAATGCATAAATTTTTGGCAAAGCTTTGTAGTTAAAAAAAAAATTACCGAAGAATCCACAAAATTAATGTTTATTCTACCCTTGTGTCATATTTCTGGATCCTTTACCAATGTTACATGAGGAAAAAACAAAAGGAAAACAATGAAAAACTGAAATCTGAATCCCTAATGTTATCAAGTAGGGCAGTAAATAAATTAAAATCTAGTAACCATCAGCAAGAGTACAGCAAAGATAATGCTGTAAAAAGAAACAAAGAAAACTGCTAGAAAATTGTATGTATTAAACTCTTTCAAACCAGCAAATATGCTCCTGTATACAATGGAACACAGCATATATAACATATATATATATATGTAAAGGTATAGAAATATGAGTTTTTAAAAATATTATGAATAGAGTGCGGGGGTTTACCTCTATGGTGCTATGCCTGCCTCGTAAGTGCAAGGTCCAGAGTTTAATTCCTAGTACCAAAAAAAAAATGTGAATGGATAAAACATGTTTGTAATGGTAATTTTACTAAGCTACTACAGAATGGACCAGGATTTATGGATTCTGGAGATGATATGGTACTGTAATTCTTTGATTGGGATAGCGGATACTGTAGCAAAAAAAATTTTAAAAACATACACACCCAAAAGTAAAAGACAAAGGTGAATGAGACTTCTCATATCTTGGTAACATTTAGATGGAATCAAATTTAAATGCAGTTAGGGCCGGGGATTTAGCTCACTTGCCGCTGCCTGCCTCGCAAGTACAAGGTCCTGAGTTCGATCCCCAGTACAAAAAAACCCCCCCAAAACCCAAAATACATATTAAATGCAGTCCACTCTGCTTTTTTTTTTTTTTTCACTCTGCTTTTGAAGAGGCTTTGGTTCAGCTCCCAAATCTTGATTGCTTGACACAGTCTCCTATGAGAATATTCAGAAAGTGACTTCTTAAACAACAAACCTATTTTTAGTGTTGGAAAGCTGGCCTTAGTAGTGTGTCAGCATGGGACTGATAATCACTATCTTTGGAGGCAGTCCTAATCTTTTCTTGTATACTCTCCCTATAAAGTTGAACAGCCTCTCTGTTTTCACATTCGGTGGTCCATATTGCTATCTTATCACCTTTAGCTCTAATACTAACAATAGTTCCATATACATCATTGCTGTAGTCATCAAATGATTCTCCAGTAAGGGCCAGTAGTGTCTCTAGCCAAAAACAATCGAGGTCACTTCATCCAGATCATTGTTTGTTCAGTGTGATTAGTCATCATCCTCCCTGTTTGTTTTTCTTATCTTCCCACATGGGCTCAAATCTTTAAAAAGTGAGTAGTCACAGCCAGGCATTAAATTACCAGACAACTGGATATGGTTGTATAGAGCTCAAAAGTCTTCAACTGTGTCAAACTTAGAGATTAGTCAAAGGTTTGCTTGCCAAGTCTTACTTTTATCATTTTTAAAAAACAGAGTTTTTTATAGTGTGGTGGGTTAGCAAACTCCTGATTAGATTCTGTTTTCGCCTCTTCTACAAGTTGGGGATTAGGAGTAGGAGTTGTTTCCGGTTCCACAGTTGCCATCTTAGCTCACTCTCCAGTGAATTCATTCTGACAAAAGTGCGAAGACGATTTGTGTCAATCTTAACTGTCAACTTAACTGGATTAAGAGATGCCTGGAGAAGGGCTGGGGATTTAGCTCAGTGGCTCTGCCACCTGTCTCAAAAGCAAAAGGTCCCAAGTTCGATCCCCAGTACCAAAAAGAAAGAGAGAGAGATGCCTGGAGAGCTGACTGGATCATGGGAGTACTATACTGAATGCAAGATGTGTGGAGTCATGTAGACTTCCACCCAGATTTTGAAGGAAGCCCTGGGAATGTGGTCCTGAGAAGGGGGGTGCCTGAAGCTGTGGGAATGAAACCAAAGTGCAGCGGAATATCTAGGAAGTCAGAGATGCTAGAAACATGAAATAACTGCCAAGCAAAGCCACAGGCAGTGAGAACATCCAGCCCAAGAGAGGTCATGTGGGCTGTAACTGGCAAGGGCATAGGAATAGAGCTGCCGAAGCTTTCTGGAATCATATCTTACCACCATGTGCCCTGGATGCCAGACATAGAGCTACAGAACTTAATGTCTGCCCTGCTGGTTTTTCATCTTGTTTTGGTCTGATTATTTTCTATTTCCCTATTCCTCCTTTTTGAAATAGGAATGTTTACCATGTATCTTTATATGTTGGGAATATATAACTTGCTTTCTGAATTTTGCAGGGATTCACAGCTAAGAGTTTGCCTTGAATTTCAGAGGAGACTTTGGAGTTGGACTTCTGAGTAGTACTGGAACTGTCGAGATTTTGAGAAAGGGATTTTTGGTCACATGCAGGATAGTTCTATTACGTTGGATGGGATTATTACTTGTTATGGTGATTATTTGGAGATTAAGTATGGTTTGAAGAGATATGATTAAGTGTCAAGATGATAAGGAGTGAACTTGTTTAGGTTAATCTTAATTGTCAATCTGACTACATTAGAAGATGCCTGGAGAGTTGATTGGATCATGGAGGTGCTATATTCATCAATAAATTAACCTCAGGGCTGGGGATTTAGCTCAGTGGTTTCGCTGCCTGCTGCGCAAGCACGAGGACCTGAGTTCAATCCCCGGTACCACCAAAAAAACCAAAAATTAACCTATAGTTTCTCCTAACTGAATGTGCTGCTAGGAGGTGGGACCCAGTTGGAGGAGGTGAGTCACTGGGATGTCTTTAGAGGGTGTATCTCTCACTGGCACTCTCTCCCTGGGCTCTGCTTCCTGGCTATCATGAAGTGAGCAGCTTCACTCCCCCACACCCTTCCACCATGATGTTTCTACCTTAGAAGCAGCTGACCATGGACTAAAGCTCTAAAACCATGAGCCAAATTAAACCTCTCTTCTTTTATGTTGCAGGTCTCAGAGGGAAAAGCTAACTATTTGTTTCCAGAGAAGAAAAGCTAATACACTATCCAATGGATCTTTTCAACAAATAATGCTGGAACAATAAGACATCCTCCATAGTGTAAATGTGGTTTGTTTCCCAAGGGTCCACGTGTTGAAGACTTGGTCCACAGTGTGACAGTATTGAGACCTTTAAGAGGTGGGGCCTAGTGGGGGAGACTGGCCCCTCCCCTCAGTCTGGCTTCCTGTCTTCCCAAGTGACCTCTTACTCAAGTGACCTCTCCTGTACCCTCAGCACAATGGTACTATCCACCATGAGGTGATGAAGTCAGGAAGCCCTTACCAGAGACTTTCAGCCTTTAGAACCCTGAGCTCGACAACCAATCCTCTCTTCGTCACCACCCAAGCTTTTGTAATAGTAGCAAAACCAAACTAATAGTATGTCCATGTGCAAAAGGATTACCCTTGCCAGGCATGGTAGTGCATGCCTGTAATCCTAGAACTCAGGAGGCAGAGGCAGGAGGATTGTCACAAGTTCGAGGCCAGCCTGGGTTACACAGTGAGTTCAAGGCCAGCCGGAGCTACGTAGTGAGACCTTGTCTCAAAAAAAAAAAAAAACTACCCTTTGCTTGTACTTCATATCTTATATAAAACTTCACACAAAAAAGACATAGAGTAAGCATAAAACATTAAAGCACAAAATTTTTAGAAACGGATATAAAAGATAATGCAATGACTTGGGTTTTGGAGTGAATTTTTAGATGTAACACCAAAAGCAGGACCCATGGACTTTACGAAAATGAAAAAATTTTGATCTACAATAGAAGCTTTCAAGAAAATTAAAAGATCAACCACAGATTGGGAAAAATATCTGCAAACTTCCTATCTCATAAAGGACTTATACCTAGAATATTTCAAAAACTCTTAAAACTCAGTAATAAGAAAATCCAATTTAAGCCAAGCCTGGTGGCACATGCCTATAATCCTAACACTCAGGAGACTGAGGCAGGAGGATCGCCACAAGTTCAAGGCCAGCCTGGACTACACACTGGGACCCTGTATCAAAAAAAAAACAAAAAACTAATTTAAAAAGTAAGAAGAAAAAGGAGCAAAAGATCTGAACAGGCACTAAAACTGTTTCACACAAAAACACACTGATGGCAAATGAGCACAAGAAAGGGCTCAGTGTCACAGGTCCCTGGGAAAGCCAATTAAACTACAATAAGATAGTGACACACACCTATCACAACAGCCAAAATCCAAAAACATCTGACAATGCCAAATGCTCCAAAGGAGTCCAAGCCACAGGAATTCATTGCCGGGGGGAACATAAAAGGGTACAGTCACTCTGAGTGAGATCACCAGCATCTTGTACAGCTGACCAAGTTTTGTGGGCCCGTGATCCTGCAATGGTCCTCTCAGGCACTCACCCAGTGTGGAACGTATTGACTCTGCAATGACATAGATGGATCTAAAATGCATTTTGCTAAGTGTGAGCAGAGACCCCAATGGCTGTACTCTGAAAATTTCTACTCACACAACACCTGGAAAGGCAGGACATGGGAAGGGATGTCACCCACTGTGCAAGGAGTTTTAATTCCATTTGCTGATCAGACTCATAGAACTACACAGCACACAAACATAAACTTTAATGTCTGCCAACTAACAAAAAGACAGAAAGACAACCAACCAGGATATCAGGGGACAAGGGAGTGGATGCAGATGGTGACGAGTAGAGCTAGGTCACAAGAACATGCGATGTAGCTCTGCTGTATGGAGGTGGGTCTTCAGGAAAGACAGGATGGAAGGAACCACCCCACAATGGAGCACTGTGCTCCATTGGCTTTGTCTCTGGGATCCAGGGAACAGTCTGAACTGCTCTGCTCATGAAGGGCTGAGGACATGAAGCAGGTCTCCCCAGTATAGTGGGCAGCTTTGGGTAGCCAAGTGCTACACACAGATGGATAGTGTCAGCTACCTCTGAAGGAACACAAGCCAGGTTGTGTGTGTGTTTATGAGTGTATGCATGGCCTTACTGTGCACATCAGGCCTGTCTGCAGGTGGAGGGGAACACAACCTGGAGTACAGCCTCATCCCCGGGTGCGGCTCTGTCCACAAAGGACTCAATGGAAATAGCTGGAGTACTAAAGTCCTCTTCTCTCACCACAACTCAGACCAATGCACAAGAGAAAAAAAAAAGGCTTAGGGCCAGGGATTTAGCTCAGTGGCACTGTGCCTGCCTTGCAAGCACAAGGTCCTGAGTTTGATCCCTGGTACCAGGAAAAAAAAAAAGGGTTAGTATCACCATTTTAACAATTTAAGAAAATATCTCTAAGGCAAGCAGCACAAGAAACTCTCTACCTGTCAAGAAAAGTGAAGACAGGTTGGGCAGGATTTGTTTTCTGAACACGCTGCAAGCATCTTCAGAGGAGCTTGTGTCAGGCAGCGCTTTAGAGGACCCAGGTGCCTGGAGAAGAGGAAAAGTGCTCAATTCCCATGAGCGCTCAGAACCCCTGGATGTTCAGCACAAAAAATCAAACAGGGCAGGTTGTCAAGGATTCTTTTTGGTTTCATTTTTTTCCCCCTCAAGTTTTCTAAAGAACAGCTGAGAGTTCACCAAAGCCCATTGGATGTGAGGGCTTACCTCCTTGGTCCTTTTCCCATGCATCTGAACTGCTAGGCCTCAGGCCAACCTGATTTCCCCTGGTGAAGGGCCTAACTTCCTACATTTTTGCAACATGCTAGTTAAATTCATCTCACCTGTCAGGGGAGTCAGTACCTATGTAAAGAGACACATTGTAATTGCATAGGGTATACATAATAGCACCCATACCAATGGTCTGTGTCACAGCCAGCTAAACCAGGTACTACAGTGTCTGGGCCAAAACCAAGTTTTGAGATCGTTTACACATCAGATTCTTAGTTTCTCCTGATAATTCAAGGTTCCAATCTGGAACTAGAAAAGTAAGGATTGAAGTCCTCTGTTCTGTCAGAATTGAAGCTCCTTGTAGAGATCATTCTAGATCTCAGTAGATTCTACCTGGCAACTCAACTTGCAGGGCCTGGGATGAACTTCATTCTTCTCTACAGTACTCAGGGGCTATGTCAGGCTTCAGCCCCAGCTGGGAGGCAGGTGAGGTAGCATCCCCATGGGGTCTGGTACAGAAGGGCTCAAGACTTAAATCTGAGCAAGCTCAGGGAGATCCCTGGAGAAGAGAAAAAGATCTCCCTGCAGACATGCCCTGAGATAAGGCCCAACAAGGCCTAGGGATGGAACATCAAGAAGCCCAGACCCTAAAAGCTCCCAAAAGGGAAAATGGCTCCCCTACAAAAGAACCAGACTCTCAATAACTCTTCACCAGCACCACAGTTCTCGGGGAAAACTGCTTGGGTTGAGAACTGAGAACAAGGCAGGTAGATACAAAACTCACCCACTCCCTGGCCTTATGTGAAACTCTGCGTGGAGTATACTCACAAAGCAAATAAACCAACAGACAGGAAGTCATGAGATACAAGAATATGAATATGACCCAAGAGAAAATGGAGACCTTTTGGATGGGGAGTCTGCACCCTAGGTGGGCCACACCTGGGGCTGGGAGTAGGAAGGGATCACAATTGGAAAAGTATTCTGTGCAGACACAAAGCAATGAGGGGATGTCTGCAGTGAGGAAGGGGCATTCACTAAGATGGAACTGAAGGGGCTCGAGGATGCACAGGCCTCTTCTCAGGGTACCACAGCAGGGGCTCCAGCGCCCCAGAAAGCAAAGGAAGAAGACCACAGGGCATCATTATTCAGCCCTATAGGGGGTTATGGTTCCTCATCACAGGAGTGAAGTCTGAAGACAGACAGACCTCAGAGAAAGAAAGGACAGCTGATGACAGGGAAAGCAGAGGCCAGGTGGTCTGAGGACCATAACTGGGGGGCAATGCCCCTGTTGAGGTTCTAGTAATTGCCCTAGGAAGGCCACAGTGGCAGGCAGGAACAGCCCTTGGCCAAATGCTACCAAGTGTGCACTAGCTGGTCCTTGCCATCTAGGGTCTTCCCCCAGGGAGGGCCTCTGTTCCAAGTGGCACAGACAGATGTTAACCTCCAGAGTCAATAGAGAAGCATCCCTGAAGCCCTGAGCCCTAGAAACAAACCTACCTGCAGCAAACCCCAATAGGGCCCACCCATCTCACACCTGGTATCTCCTGGCCCCAACAAGATAAAGTGAACTCAGATTAAACCAAACACTGCTGAAGGTCTCCAAGCTGACTACAGATGTGGTACCCACAGAAAAGGCCAGCCAGTGACCAGGCTGCAGTAGTTAATCACCAGCCTGTCCTCTCCTGACCAGCACCTCATGGTTCCATCTTCAGAAGCTGCATTCGAGCCCTGGTACCAAAAAAAAAAAAAAAAGAAGCTGCATCATTGGAAAAACATTTCATGCTGCCTAAACTTCAAAGGAGATATCCTCTTCCTACTTCCAGAACTCCCAGTGCCTCTCCTTATATCTCACACATCATGTGAACCTCTCCTCAACAATGAGCCCCCAAATCTACTGAAAATGACCCAACACAATGTAGAGCCAGCCCTCTGCCCCAGGACCTTCTGAGTGGCCCTTCCAGACCATACTTCTCCTCTACTGGATCAGTAAATTCAGCTTTTCCCATGGTGGCCTTAACAAACAGTGCCCAAAGACCCCAGAAGTCCAGCCCCAGTTGCCCAGCTGCTAAACTCTTGGCCTAATGGAGGGTTTCAAAGAGGTTCCAGACTGGTCATTTCCTGTGCATCCACTTACTGCATGGCTAAAATATTCTTGCACCTACAGCCACTGCAAAAAGGGGTCGACACTGCAGTTTAACTTCTCAAAATACCCCATAATTGGGTAACTGTGTGCCTGGGCTGGTAAGAAGGAAGCTGTACTACCCTTCTGACATGTTCCTGGGAGGTCTCTGCTAGCCTCCCTCTTCCTCGGAGAATACAGGTCATGTTTGTTAATGCAATGAACATCAGGAGACAATAGTGTCTTGGGCCCACTTTGCTGCCTGGTAACCCTGAGTGCAGGGCCCATTCTCAGGCTCTAATTCCTCATTGTACCCAAGGACACCACAGGCCTGATATATGCCACAAACACAGCAGCCAGATCTCATAGCTCAGGCTGACAGTACTTCACATAGCTTTCCTGCCCAGAATTCAGCCCTCCTAGATGCTCCTCAAGGCCTGAAGACAGCAGTGCCCAGGTGTGAACTACTGCTCAGAATACCTGGGTGGTGGTGGTGGTGAACAAATGGTAGGGTGGAGCCAGGGATGTGGACTCCAGGACCACTACCCTGGTATTAGCTTGGGGGACCCTGCCATCCACAGGGGTATTCACATGGGCAATGGCAGTGCTACCAGGCTAGCATGTCCTCTGAGGCCCAGCAAGTCTGCATACAGTAGACCACATCAACACAGTATGTGTTGGGTGCACATGTCAAAGTGACAGGCAGGTCTTTGTCCCAAGTGGCTTGCGTAGGACCTGTTGGAAAGCTGCTCTCCAGTAATAGCATGCCTCTGCTCCCATGTCATTGCTTCTGAGGCCACCCCCAGAACACTCAGGTCATGCACACCCTAACCTGTGTAGAGTTTGCCCCTAGCATAGACACATCCCAAAACTTCATCAGAAACTTTAGTGGAAAGGGGCCAGCCCCTAGACAAATCAGGCAGGATGGAAAAGGTTGTTACCCCAGGAGTGGCTTCTGGGTCTGATCTGAAAGCTTCATCTTACTTTTCTCATTGCTGAGACAAAATACCTGACACCTGAAGTTAAAGAAGGAAAGGTTTATTGTAGCTCACAGTTTGTATAGGTTTCAGTTCATAGTTGGATGGCTCCAAGGCAAGGTGGCATGGCATACGGGCATCATAGAGGAGAAACAGTTCATGGTGGGCAGAAGGGAGGAAGGCAGAAAAGCAGCAAAATAGTGGAAAAAACAGCAGTCTGCCTCTCCCTTTTATCCCTTCCAGGCTACCTGTCCTTTGGGTGGTGCGACCCATACCCAGGGTGGGCCTTCCCATTATTCACACCCAGAACTATGCCAAGCCAATCAGTGATTTAGTAATTTAGTAATCACATACCCTTAATCCCAGCATCACACACCCTAGATCTTAGCCACCTCCGAAGGAAAAGATCCACCTAAAACCGAATGAGGTTTTAGGGGGAACATTTAGATAAAAGGTCCTAACAACTGGCAAACTACATTTTTGAGCTTCATTTTCCCTGTCCACATCTTTATTACATGCCTTTTAAGGTAACTTGCCTAAGATTAAGCCTGCCTAAATTCATTGTCTCTCAACAAGGGGAGTTTCCACAGAATGTATTTGGTTATATTCAATTACTTGGCTTTCAATATCTAGAAGCACTAGAAAATCTAATATCCAAGTGAAATGTCTGGAGAACTACCACCTTGGAAGAGCCTGTGTCCCTGAGGAACAGGGTAGCTCATAGGCCCAGGGAGAACCAGAGCCTTCCAGAAAGAGGTACATGCAGCAGGACTTGCCTGGGGCCACCCCAGCCACAAAACCATAACCCAAGAAGATGGGAAACTGAAAATCTGATTCTACTCCAAATACCCATTTTAGTCTTGCAAGACAGAAAAGAAAGGCATATGTTCTATGCTGTATATCTATCTGCCTGATTCAGTGGCTTAAAACTGTTCCTTCTGAACCAAACTGAACCCCTGTGGAGGGCAAAGACAGCACTGTCAGATTTGCAGGAGCCCTTGATCCTGGCTGCATGTAAAGCAAAGCTGCTGAAGTCCCTGTCAAGTTCTGCTAAAGTCTCTAGACTCTCTATCTTGGCTCCATCCCTGTGACAGTGAAAACTTTCAGAATGACTCTTTGGTGCTGTGAAGGATGATAAATCAACATCATGTACAGCTACTTTACAGCAGTCTACACTGGCAACCCCACAGCGATCACTCAGTAATGACTCTGGCACTTTGCATCAGGAGGTGGCCAATTTATCACACAAACCCAAAATGGACCTGGCTTCACCACAGGAATGCCACATGGATGCTGCCCAAAAGCTGCTGGAACTCAGCTTTTCCCCGGTACATGTGAGGGAGGTGGCTGAAGAAAGGAAGTGGAGATGCTCAGTGTTCACTGTGGAAGCCCCCTCTAAGCAGCCATCCTGGCCAAGTCCTCTACTGGTCTCAGGGCTCATTTGGGAATCTCCATTTGGTCTTCCTTACCAAAAGGCTGGGCTGTGTTCGTCAGTGTTCACCTGCTCATAGGATCATTCTCTCTCAAACCAAAATTCTGGGCTTTGGGTGTGGGGTGGGAGTTGGTATGGACAGCTGACCCCACCAAGCCAGAGGTTCTGAGCTTCACCTCTGCACTGCAGGCTGGCTGGCCTTGAGATAGGTAGGAGGGCTCTTGGCCAACAGGTCAAATCTGGATCTGACCGGATCCCTAAGGCTCAGGCTTCACCTGCTAGGGAAGTGGTGGCAGCTAGCAGCTCCCTCACGTCCCGATGAACCTCCTCTGCCAATTTGAATCGCTTCAAATTGCAGGGTGAGCAGCTGGGTGGACAACATTAAAGAAACCCTGGTCTGGCCATAAACCAGTCACCTCAGCTCTGCTTTCCCTCAAGGCTCCCCAGACTCAGGTCGGGCAGGCAGCAGTGGGGATGTGAGGCCTTCGAAGCCAGGTGAAAGGAATCCTTTGCTTTCCTTCACAGTTAGTTACCTCTATCCCTAGAGGCGGGACACAGGGTATGCATCGCTACCTGCTGTCCAACTCAGCCAGATATTAGAGCTGCGGGAACGGGTGACAAGGTAAGGTGACCAGGTCGCATGTCCTCCCCCAGCCCCTCCAGCCCATGCAGTCAGTCCCCGCTTGGGTCCGGGGCAAGGAGGAGAGAGCACAGGACTGCGTTAGTGACATCTGACAGGGGCTGGGGGCCAGGAACGGGTGTAGGAGCCTGGAGGAGCTAAGAAGGGAGGAACAGGGAGAGGTGGGGTAAACAGGAGTCCCAGAAGCCTGGAGGACCTGGGCAGGGGTCAGGAGGCGTGGAGGGACTAGGGGTCCAAGCGCGCCGGATAGCGGGACACCGGCAGCGGCCTGGGGCTCACCGCGCACTCACAGTAAACTAAAGCGAGGGCCTTCAAGAGCATGATCCTGGTCAGCCAGAAGGTGCCCGGGCACAGACAGGTCGCGCAGGTCGTGGCACGAGGCTCCGGCACGGGCGGCGACCCGGGTCCCGGGTCCGGTCCCGCGTCCTCGACTTTCCGCTTCCTCAGGGTCCCCTCAGGCGCAGCCATTGCAGAGGCCTCTAGGCGCAAGCGCGAGGGAGGGCGGTGGACGGGAGGCCACGCCCGCCAAAGAGGCGGTCCCCGCCCACAGGCGGGTCTCCAGAGCCCCCAACTGGCCTCAAGGGCGGGCCTTGCCACGGAGAATGTGGGAGGGCAGTTACTGACCTGGTTTCTCATTCCTTCTCCTTTCGTGCTGCAGGCGTTGGCCTTGGGAACCTGGGTGCAGAGGGGAAACAGTGGGACGCCTTCTGCACGCCCGGCGCAAGGGAAGGTCCGTCCTGGGGCCGCTCGGGGGCAGGGTTTTCAAGCCCCCTCATCAATCTCGCATTTCCACTCTGCAGAGGATGCTGGTGAGCAGCAGAGCTAGCCTGAAGTTTGGGTAGATCCTCCAGCTTCCTAACCCACCCGAAATCCCAGCGGGGTCTCTGCACATCTCCGCTAGACCACCAGGGCTTCTGCAGGCTCTGGCTCCGGGCTGCAAGCTGTGATCACTGAGGGGCACTCGGACTCAGAGGAAAGAACTTAGTAGTACTAACCTGAGCGAACCCCAAGCAGTACACTAAGGCTCTGCTTTCTGAAGAGAGGGGCCACTCCACCCCTTCTCTGAAGTGTCACTGGAAAGGGTGGATCGAAGGCATGCCTCAGAGAAGAAGATGTGTGCAGGTCAGAGTTTCTGGGCAAACAGCTTGGAAAGAAATCACTGAGGTGTGGGTTTTTCTTTATTCATGTGAAAGAACTCTTTACATATTAAATATCCTATTCCTTTGTGCACATTGTGAATATTTTCCTTCTTTTTTTTAGTAGTGGGGATTGGAGGTTGCTCCTCATGCATGCTAGGGAAGTAGTTACCACTGAGCTACATTCCTAGTCCTTTTTTATTTTATTTCTGAGGTGGGGTCTTCCTAAGCTATCCAGGCTGACCTCAAACTAAACATCTTCCTGCCTCAGCCTCCTGAGCAGCTGAAATTATAGGCATGTGTCGCCAGTACTCAGCCCAAATGCTTATTTTGGCTTTTGTTTTTAAATTTTGTCCTCAGGCTCTTAATTTTATTCCTGGTGTTTTAACATGAGATGCCAACACTTGCATAGTCAAATGATCCAGGCTTGGTGCTTGTTTATACCTTCACCCACCTGTACTGAGTCTCCTGAGGGCAGGGGCTAACTGTGGACGTTGGATCCCTCAGCTCTAACCCAGACCAGCAACTTCTGAGCCCTCTCCCCAGCCCTGTCTCCCCCTGTTGCTGGGATAATAGCATATAAATATACAGCTTACTGTGATTTTTCTCCCCTGAAAAATGTTTAATTTTCTTTTCCATAAGCAGCCCTCCCTCAGGAGCTCAGCTGTAAAGTGTGGCCATGGCAAATGACGCCATGAGTGACACAAATGCCTTCCACATCCTGCTGCACCCAGTTTTGTGTGCCCGTCACCTCAATCCAGAGTGTGTCCAGGTCTGGAAGCCTTGGGTCTTGGAGCAGCAATTGGCTGCGGCCACTGCCCTTCCGTCAGGTCCTTCCATAGAAACCTTGACCTATACCTCCCCTCCCCACTGTCCAGGTTCCAAGCACGGGGACAGGCAAGCACAGCTATTTGCAGAGTATAGCTGATGCTTGCAGAGCTTCCTGGGTCTGTCTGGAGTCTGGTGCTGTGCATGGGACTGAAGGACAGCTTTACCATCAGGTGTGACCCTGGGTCCTCCTTTTCAGGTGGGGACAGTCTTCACAAAGGCTCCTTTGTCCTTGGCTTCCCCTTGCTGGGGCCGCATTGTCCTCCCCACAGAAGGGCACAATGGGGCATTGTGTAGAGCAGAAAGGGGCCTCTTGTTCTAGCATCCAGCTCTCGGGGCTCAGCTCAGCTCTGGGCTCCCTCTCTGGCTTTGCCCAGGGTGGGCAAGGCCAGCAGAAGGGTCTGTTGGGAGCTTGAGTCTCTTTGGATCGAGTTTCTTGCTAGATCTGCCTTCCTGGACACTGTCAGAGCTGGCTCAAGAGCAGGTCACCAGGGGCAGAGCTCAGGCTAAGGAGAGGGGGGCCAATGGCTGAGGTCCTCCCTATTTCATCCTGAGTTTAATCAACAATGCTCTGAGGTATTATTCACCCATCAAGAGGAACAAAGTCTCAACATATGCTATGACATGGATGAACCTCAAAAACATCAAGTTAACTGGAGTACGACAGACTCAGTCATGATTCCATTTGTGGGAAATGTCCAGAATAGGCAAATCCATGGGAGAAGAAAGTAGATTAGTGGTTTCCAGAGGGAAGGGAGAGTGATTGTTGCACAGATGTGGGGTTTTCTTTTAGGATGATAATGTTTTGGAACTACACAGAAGTGATGGATGTGCAACACTGTGAAAATACTAAGTGCCACTGAATCATGCCATTTACAATGGTTAATTTTATGCCATGTGAGTTTCACCTCAATTAAAAAAAAAAAGTAAAAAGAAAACAAAGCAACAAAGACATCCCTAAAGTGGAATGTTTCATCATCACCAGAGGCATTGCTTTTTACCTGTTGGAATAAGTCCTGTCATTTCACTAAACCTCCTTTAGTAGTTTAAAATAACATTTGAATTACAGCTGTCATCCCAGAAAGATGCTCCACACAGAAAACAAATGTCTGCACACCCAGCATAAGCTGCAAGAGGAAGAAACTCCTGCACAAGAGTGGGGGCTGTCAGCCAGGTGGGGTCCCAAATATGCTTTTGTCATCCTGTTGTTTGTGCCCCAAAGACCATCTGGACACTGGGGCAGGGGTTGGGTGGAGGTGGGAGGGGGAGGGGCAGGGGGATGCTTCCAAGTTTTACTTTCAAAGAAAAAGTAGGAGAATATGTGAAGCTGACAAAGGGGAGGCCAGAGGGACCAGAGATACCCTAGGGCTGAAGAAGAGACAGCAAGAGTGGAAGCAGAGGAGCCCCAGGAGCTGGCAGCTTCAGACTGGGCTGGTGTCTGGAGACTAGCGCCTGCCTGCCTCTAGGTGGGCCCTGTGCCCCAGACACCCGCAGCCTCCTCCTGCACAGCCCAAGGCTGGCTGCACTCCCAGCAGCTGCGGTACCGCTTCACAGAGGAATGAGCCCTCTGTCAGCACCTCGTCCAGCTGTCCCTGGGCACCCCAGCCTGGCAGCCCCCAGAGTGTTGGGCCATTGTGCCCAATGTGCCCTTACAGCTGTCTCAGGGACCCACAAGAACCCAGCTTGGGCCCAAATCTAATCGTGTACCCTTCATTTACCCCAATTTTTCATGTCTTGAAGTCTTAAAGGGGAGCAGGCCCCATGGATGCTACCATCTGTTGCCTTCTCCTGGAGGGGTGGTCAGCCTGGGCCAATCCTACCAATTGTCCAGTGGCCAACCCCACCCCTAGCCACAGGGAGGCTGGCAGGTGCATGGGGGTGACAAGCAGGTGCCTACCATTTGAGGGCTGTGCTGAGACTGTGACTCACAGGTGGCTGTGCTGCTTGGCCAATGTACCTCCTCTCCTGCACCCCAGAAGGAGATGTGGCCCCAAGTTGGTGAGTTATGGTGAGCTGTGGTTTCAGGTAGGGTGGAAAGTAAAGCCTCCCAGTACAGCTGTACTCTGCTGGCAAAACCCTATGGGAGGAAACACAAATTATATTCTGAACTGGAGGAAATCTTGGAAACTTTCTGGTCCAGAGGTCAGAACCCAGAGGCTTATGGGCTAGGGTCTGCCCACAGAACTGTATAAGTCACCATTTGCCCCAGGAATCTCAAGTAACAACCAGCCCCAAACCATGAAACCTGTATCCTGGGCAGTGCCCTCAGTGCCAGGCCCTGCCAGTCAGCACAGAGAGGCATGGGTTTCCTATGCCTTTGTGCCTGCTCCAGCCTTTAGAACCAAAGCTCTGCCCAAGACTTCCAGATGCAGCTTCTGCATCTACAGTTCCACATGTTCCAAGTAGGGGGAGGAACCATGTTGCTGCCCAAGGACTCGCATGATGACATTTAATTAAACTCCCTGAGTTGAGGAAAACAAATGCTTAGGAGTGGGCAGAAATCTTTTCACAGGTATATTTAATTCGCCTTTGGTGCTAATGAGTACAGTATATAGAACCTTCTGTCACAGCAGAAGAGGTCAGGGCAACAGGCAGCTGGAGCCCCACTCACGGAAAGGGGATTTTTCTGTGATATGTTTATTTCAAGCCACCATCTGCCTTCCTGATTATTCTTGAAACAGGGATCCATTTGGGGGTTTTAGATATGGACATCATGGGCAACAAGCCTTAGCAGATCTGCATGTCTACCACAGAAGGATGGACACAGGCCCAGCACCTGGTGGCTCAGGAGGCTGCTCTTCTGAAGTGAGAACCCCATTGGTGTCTGGTGCTCCTCCTGCACGTGGTGGAGATGGCTTCTCCTGGGCCCTTACCTTGTTTCTCAGCAGAGCGCAGCACTCAGAGGAGAGACTTGGCACAGAGCCAGTGACGGTGAAGGGGTAAGGGCCAGGGTGGGCTGGGTCTGGGTCAGGGGAGCCAGGGCCTGGAATGGAACAAAGGTCTTGGAACAAGGATCTGAAGAGAGGCTTGGGTCCTGGTGTCTACTGACAGAAAAGGCAAACTCTTCTGGTACAAGGCACAAACACACCTCACCAGCAGACAGGGGTGGAATGTTAGGCCGATAGAGTGCAGTCCAGAGCCTGACTAGGTAGACAGATGGACAGGCCATAGCAGTAAGATCAGGGCCCCGCTGGCAGCAAGGAATGATGGACAGTAAGCAGCAGAAACCACAGCTGTCCTCAACACATCTGTGACCCTTGCATGCACCTGTCAGCAGGGACAGAATGAGCACTGGGTCTCCTCCATTCCTTGGGCTAAGCACTGCCACCACCCTGGAGTCCTTTCAAACTGAGAACAGCTCTCACAGGGATGTTCCACTTGGTGGTAGGAACACCAAGGATGTTCTGCGAGGAACAGACATCCCCAGTGCCAGAGCTTACCTCAGCTCAATCGGGGGCGGGCTTTGACCTCGTCCAGAACTTCCACTCCAGTCAACACCAT